AGGATGAAGGTAAAGACAAGGCTTTAAAGTCATCTCAAGCATTCTTTTCTAAATTACAAGATCAAGTAAAAATGCAAATCAATGATGCAAAGAAAACAGAAAAGAAAAAGAAGAAAAGACAAGATATTTCTGTTCACAAATTAAAATTGTAATATATTTTGAAAATAATGTAAATATTAATGCGTAATCTTATATTTTTCTTCCATTGTTTTGTTTTATAATAAAATTCTTGAGAGCCTTTCTTGCATCTGTAGCTGGTATTTGGGAATTCCATGGTATGAAAAGACGTACTCCCGCTCTATTTGGAAAACCCATCTGATTGTTGCGGGGCTCTCCAGGCACCCTGAGCTGATCCTGGTATGCTGTAGCCACGACCTGGGCCTATGTGAAGTCTGGGTCAGCTTGTGCATGTGGGCTATGAGCAAGAGCAGGGCTGAGAGGGGCACAGAGCTGGCATGCTACTCACAACAGCTGTACACTGGAAAGGTCCTTGCTTTTTGGGGTCTTGATCTTTCCTGGCTCCGTCATCGTTTCATAGAACAGTGTCACTTTCACTCAAGTGAAAATTCCACTTTGGGAATTGATCTCACATCACATGAGCAAAGGCTTAGTGTAGGTTATAGAGTACCATCCATACTTCACTTCCAGGTCTAACCTGGAAGTGAATCTAGGCATGATAGAAGCTCAGTGCAGTCAGGGAGACAGACTGACACCTATAGAGTCTTTTCTGATCACCAGGTGCTCGTTACAACCTCCTCATCCAGGGAAGTTTGCCTTTTATCTGATAGGAGCTCATGATGCCTTGAAGGAAAAGGCATCTTTATTCCAGATGGATAGAAAATGAGGACTAAAAACCAGCCAAATCAACAAGGAAGGCCCTTCTGGTTTTTTTATCACAGTAGCCAGGAAGAGCCTGGGTACGCATTCTGCAATGCTGTTAGAGAAGCTGACTGGTGCAGAAGCTGGTGGAGGCAACGGAGAAGTGGGCTGTATGGGGCTAGATGAAGCACCTGTCTGGTCGTTTTAGTCTCCTTGTGTTATTATAACAAAATACCTGAGACTGGGTAATTTTTTAACTATAGAAATTGATTTTTTACAGTTCTGGAGGCTAGGAAATCCAAAGTCAATGTGCCAGCAAATTCAGTGTCCCATGATAGCTGCTTTCTGTTTCAAGCTGGTACAGCTTTTTGTTTTGTTAGAGGTGGAAGAACAAAAAGGTGCCAAACTTCTTCAAACTCTTTAAAAATTTTTTTTATTTGATTTTTCTTCTGAGACAAGCCTCTTACTCTGCTGCCCATGTTGGAGTGCAGTGGTTAGATCAGGGCTCATTCTTACCTTGAACTTAAGGGCTCAAGCCATCCTCCTCCCACCTAAGCTTCCCAAATAACTGACACTACCCATGCCCATTACACACCAAGAAGTCTGGCTGTTTTTCTAATATTCTGTAGATTCTTGCCTGGAACTCGGCCTCAAGGGATCCTCCCACCTCAGCCTCCCAAAATGCTGGGATTACAGGTGTGAGCCATTGCACCAGCCATCAAGCCCTTTTATGAGGAGCTAATGTCATTCATAAGGGCTCTGCTTTAATGTTTTAATCATTTCTTAAATTCCTCACCTCTTAATACATTGGTCATGAGTCTAAAATCTCATGTTAAACACCCTAAGGGTAAGATTCAAGGTATAATTTATCCTGAAGTCAAATTTTCTTAAATACAGTGGCAGGATGGGCATAGGATAGACATTCCCATCCCAAAAGGGAGAATGAGGAAAGAAGGGAAGGGTCCCAGTACATCCAAAACCCAGCAGAGCACACATTAGCAAATCTCCAGGATAGTCTTTGACTTCACCTCCTGCGTTCCAGTCACACTGGGGTGAAGGTTAGGCCACCAAGGCTCCACTTGGCCTCACCCTCGTGGCCTTATTAGGCGCAGCCCGCACAGCTGCTCCCCCAGGTCGAATTTCCATGCTTGTAGCTCTCCTGAGCTAATGTGAATACTGGTGACTATAGACCCAGGCTCTCAGGGGCAGCCCTGCACCAGTGGCTCAGCTGGGGATATCCTACCGGGGGGGGGGTTCTCTGCGGCAGCTCCAATCCCATGGCTCTGCTCAGTATTGCCACCCCTGGGGCAGTTCTCTGCCTGCATCTGACCCCCTCCTCCCTCAGTCTTCTGGATGTCAGTCCTGTATTCCTCCTGCACTACTTCTGGCTCCTTGACTGGCTCCTCACTGTCCCAGCTTTGGTCACTGAAGCACTCAGTCTTCTGACCTTTTCAGTTCTCTTATCTGCAGTCAATCCCTGTTCTTACATAGTAATACCATTTAATTTAAACTCTGACAAGTTCCAAATTTATATTTCCAGCATGACCTGACTTGATTCATAAATTCAACTGTCTTTATTTCCAAGAATGTCCCAAGTGGTAACTCAAACTTACATGTCCAAAGTGAACTCCTGCTCTCCCCTGCCCCTGTCTTGCCAGTTGCCAGTCCAAAGGCCTCAGAGTCCCCACGACTCTTCTTATACCTTATTTCTTTCCCCATGAGCAATTCCCATTGGCTCTGTCTTCTAAGTATATCCAGAATTTGACCACTCACCATCGATTGCAACGTCAGTACCCTGGCATACACATCATCCTCTCTCCTTGGACTCCTGCTTCAGCCTTCTGTTTTTCCTGTGCCTTCTCATGCTTTCCTCCTTGTGCACCACACCCCATCATCTGTTCTTAGTGCAGCAGACAGAATGGTCCTTTTGGAGCTTGTGCTCAAAATCTTTACATTTTTCCTCTTTCCATCTTACTCAAAGTCACAAATCAGCCACTTGTTTTGTAAATAAATTTTATTGGAACACAACTACACTTATTTTTCACATACCACCTGTGTCTGCTTTTACACTCTATTGGAAGCGTTGGCTGGTTTTGACGGAGACTACATGGTCTGCAATACTTACTACCTGGTCCTTACAGAGACTTGCTGAGCCTTGTCCTACCAGATCTTGTCCCACGGCTGTCTCTTTCAATTCATTTCTGCTCTCCTAGCCTCTATGAAGTTCTTAGAGTCTGGTTGACAAACTCAGGGCTCTATATGGCCCATTGGTGTTTCCTGGCTTGCAAGTGTCTTCTCTGAAACGTCCACACTCTTAACATCCCTCAGGCCTGCTCAAATCTCACCTTTCCAGTAAGGCCTTCCTTTACCACTCTTTCAAATTGTAATCCCCCCACCCTATGATGTTTCTGGCTTTATTTATCTCCTACTTCACTAAACACAGAGGCTGCCAAAAAATGGCAGCCTCTTTTCATTTTAAGAAAGAAAAAACCATCAAAACTGTATTAAAATTGTTGTACTCAATTGACTTCTGCAATTATAAGAGGTGACAAGATAACAATATGACAAATGTTATCGGCATATATTATAATTTTAATAGTTTTCTCTTTTCTTAAAATGTGTATTTTTGGCACCCTCTGTATTTACTTTTTTAATTTTTTAAAATTGAGACAGAATCTCACTTTGTTGTCCTCTGTAGAGGCTATGGCATCACAGCTCACAGCAACCTCAAACCCTTGGGCTTACGTGATTCTCTGGCATTAGACTCCCAATTAGCTGGGACTATAGGCACCTACTATTTTGTTGTTGTTTAGCAGGCCTAGGCTGGGTTGGAACACGCCAGCCCCCGACGAATGTGGCCAGTGACCTAACCACTGAGCTATGGGTGCCACATATTTTTTGTCTTTTCTTTATTTGCCCAGCTAGAATGTATCTTTAATGAAGATGGGGATTCCTCACACCCCCAACCCTCTCACCACCAACAGCTCCTTCTGTTCACTGTCATGTGTCTTCATCATTTACGTAGTACCTGGAATGAGGTAGGAACTCAGTATATCCATGTTGATGAATTCCTATTCATGCCTTTTTTCTCTTTGTTTTGTTCACTGACTCATGCACTTGTTTTTTGGTTTTGTTTTTGAAACACAGTCTCACTCTGTTACCCAGGCTAGAGTGCAATGGTGTCATAGCTCACAGCAACCTTCACCTCTTGAGCTCCAGTGATCCTCCTGCCTTAGACTCCCAAGGACTGGGACTACAGGTGCCCAAGACAACGCCTGGCTAGTTTTTCTATTTTTAGTAGAGATGGGGTCTTGCTCTTGCTCAGGCTGGTCTTGAACTCCTGACCTCAAGCAACCCACCTGTCTCAGCCTCCCAGAGTCCCCAGGTCACAGGTGCGAGCCAGTGTGCCAAGCCTCTTGCACTTGTTCAACGCATATTTATAAATAATTACACAGTGCTAGCCACTGTTGCAGTCGATGATGATTTTATGGTAAAAGATAATAAACAGGGAGTCCCTGATCTCAAAATTACTTTCTAGGTCATCCATGGACATGCTGGAACCAGTCGGTCTCAATGCTCCAGCACTGATCACTAATTTTTCAACTCTTAAACATAACTATTATCAAAAGTTAAATTATACAACGTGGCAAAATATATTAAAAACAAAAGTAATAAGTGATCAAGACTCATCACACCCTAACAACTACATTTTATTATTATTTTTGCTTCTGAGGTCATTTACACAGATGTATCAGATAACTGGTAATCCATCAGGACAATCTTTTGGAAAGCCCAGCCAATACTGAACCATCCCTCTTGCTGACTCTCAGGAGTTTACTCAAGTAGAGTTCACGTTATCTTCTTGTTGGTGATAGAAGTTCCCTGTGTCTTCTCCCAGGAAGCTGTTTGTTCCTCCAGCAAACAGGTATCCAGGTATACAGATTGCTCAAATTTGCCACCGACTAGGGAAGGGATCCCATCAGAGTACCCAGCCTCAGAGACGGCTGGTGGCTAAGACTAAGGCAGGGCGGCCGGCTGCTCCAGCCTCCGGGGCTCAGCCCGCCTTAGCCACCAGCGAGGAAGGAGATCGATCACTCGCATTTCCACTCGCCATGCCTGTGGAATCGATCGAGACTCGAGGATCGGCTGGGAATGCCTGGGCGCGCGGGGCGCGCGGAGCCGGGTGGGAAGCGCCGGGTGCCGGCCGGGATCGCGGCGGCTGCTGGGCCCTGAGGGACGGAGGGAGGGACGGAGGGAGGGAGGGAGGAAGGAAGGGACCGGGCGCCCAGCGAGGGTGGAGGGACCGGGTCGGGCTCGTGGCCGAAGTCGCAGTGGTGGCCTCCAGGTGTGCGCAGATTCCCGCGACTCGTGCGTTTGTTCTGTGCGGGCCTCTGGGGCGAGAATCACCCTGGATACGCGCCAATAGCCAGCACCTCACCCGGAAAATAGTCACTGGTGCAGTGGGCTGGAACAGTCAAATTGTACCTATTTAAAAACGAATAGTTTTAGATCGTAAAGATGTCTTAGAAATCGCCCTCGCAAATCCAGCTGCTTCCTCTTATGGCAAAGAACACGCTAAGATTGCGTGCGGAGCGGGTCGCAGAGCCTTGGTCTCCCGTCTCAAGCCCGAGATTGTCTCTGCATCCCGGTAGATAGTGTTGTTTCATGTTTTAGAATTTTTCTCCCTCTTCTCCTTATGTTCATAAAAATGTTTCTGATCCATATGTATTTCATTTTGTAGGAAGAAGAAACTGTCTAAGCGAATATGAGATCAAATAGACTGACACTGTTGGGTAATAACAAGTCAAGGAAGTGGGGGCAAACCATTGCTACCTTTCACTTGAAATAGCCTGTGCGTTACTGTTGGGAACACCTGATTTTTCTTATATTCATGATGTCGGAAGGGAAATCTCCTGACAAAAAAAGGCCTCGGAGAAGCTTATCAATCAGCAAGACTAAAAAAAAAGCATCCAATTCTATAATTTCCTATTTTAGCAATGCACCACCTGCTAAACTTGCTTGCCCCATTTGTAGTAAAATGGTGCCAAGATATAACTTAAACCAGCATCTTGATGAAATGTGTGCTAACAATAATGAGGTTGGTCAAGGTGATCCAGTGCAGGTTCGCTTAATGAATTCGAACATGTCCACTGTAGATTTAACCAGTACTATCTTAGATGATGTAACACCAACGAAGTCATCACCACGGAAGACACATTTAATTCCTGGCCAAAGCAGGTCAAAAATGGGCATAAAACAGCAGACCAGTCCCTACTTTAAAAGTACTGGTGGTTTGATGTGCAAGAATCAAGATGAGGTCAGAGATAATACTGTGAAAATCATTTCTTTGGGAAGCCTGTCATCTAAATTGTCCAGAAAATACACAAAGGCAAAAAAATCATTAGATAAGAATGAAGAATTTGTCAGTCTTAGTCCACAGAATTACAAATCCACAGTTGTTAGGAGCCTGGTTGATAACTGCTCAGAAATTGAGGATGTGGTTCAAATTTTGGAAAATAGTTCTCAAAAGGAAAACATGTTTACATGTGATTCTCCAAAGGAAGAGAGTATTCCTGAACACATAGTAAGAAGCAGTAAAATGGAAGCTGAAAGCCAAAAGGTTACCCAGGAATGTGGGAAATCAGCCCTCACATCTGGCTTCTCAGGTAATGCTCCTATCTTATTTTCACCAAATTTAACTCTTGGAAGTAAATTAAAGTGTACTTCAAAAGACATCCTCATAAAGCAAGAGAGTATCCAAGGTGTGGATGGTAAAAGTGTTGAAAAATGTGAGGCATGTAGTTGTGAAGAAGTAAAAATGACTATTGCTTGGGAAGCTAAAACACAGTCATCACATTCAGAAGTGGATTCTCATATTTCTACAAATGATGCTTCTACCTGGAGTAATATTGAACAGCTTCCTCTGAAAGGTGACGATGGCTCGAAGAATGATACCACTTGCAGTATTCCTTTGTTGCAAGAGTCAAGCTGTGATGGTCCTAGTCATCCATACTACCTTCGGAGTTTCCTTACAGTGCTAAAAGCTGTACTTGAGAATGAAGATGATAGGATGCTCTTTGATGAAGAGGAGAAGGGAATTGTAACTACATTTTATCAGTTATCAGGTATCTTAACCGTATTTGCTTTCTAGTTTTTGTTTCTCATTTGCTGTCCTGATTTGAGTGTGTTGTGATGGTCAGTAATTTGATGACCACAAGGAGTCACTGTGGTTTTGTGAGTCCTTTGTGGGAGTGCTCATGGGAATCTGAGCCACTACAAGGTTTATGTTGAGAAGGATACTCCCATAAAAGACAAGATTTTGTGCCTGGTAATGGCTGTACTTTGGTTAAAATGGAAGCAGCTGTTTTCTCTTTGTAGATGTATTTGATTGTTGTAAACAGCCTTTTCCAGATTAAAAAGATGCAGTGTGACTTAGAAAAGTATACTTTGCATTTTGAGCATGTAATCAGTCTTACTCATGGTTGTTTTGTTATTTTCACACACCATTTCCTTAAATAAACAGCAGAATAAAATAAAATACAAGAAAGAAACAAACCAAGCTGAGGCATATTTTCTTTCCCCCAACAACATTTTAGATTTATGGACCTTGCTTTTTAAAGACAGGGTGTGGAGGAAATGGAAACTTTCAGACAAATTGGTTCATTTAAAAATGTTAGTCTGTGCCTCAAGTCCTTGGCAGCCAGTGGTGGCTCTAAACCAGTAGTGCAGGTTTGGAGCAAAAGCCACCCTTGTGTCACTGCACTGTTAATCCAGAGGGCCATAATGGCTATATGGAACTGAGTCTGCAAGGTAGGAAAAGCTTACTTGGTGGCCAGATTGTCCTCTCATAAAACGTAGTCTTGCCCCTCAGTAGATTAAAAAAAGAAATACCCAAAATATGACTAGTAATGTTTAAGATAAAGACTTTTGTTTGATATTTACACAGTGGAATTATGGTATTCCTTGGTTTGCTTTTTAACATGTGAGTGCTACTTTTCTGGGCACTTTCTCTCTTCTTTTTTTTTTTTTTTTTGAGACAGAGCCTCAAGCTGTCCCCCTGGGTAGAGTGCCGTGGCATTACAGCTCACAGCAACCTCCAACTCCTGGGCTCAAGCGGGTCTCCTGCCTCTGCCTCCCAAGTAGCTGGGATCACAGGCGCCCGCCACAACACCCGGCCATTTTTTGGTTGCAGCCATCATTGTTGTTTGGCGGGTCCGGGCTGGGGATTCGAACCCGCCACCTTAGGTGTACGTGGCTGGCGCCTTAGCCAGTTGAGCTATAGGCACCGAGCCGCACTTTCTCTCTTTCACAGAGATAGAAGCTGTGAAGCATCTGTACAGCTTCCATCTCTACTTGGGCTGGTCTCACCAGAAGGTGGACGTAATACCATCACACTGATTCCTCACCGTGATCACAGATCTTTACTGATGGAATAAATGCAGGTGTTTGTTTGCATGGCTGGTGGCTCTGTGCTTCCATGTAATTGAGAAGTAGGATGCTCTGCATATCCTGTATCTCGCTGTCCTGGGGAATTGTGTACACCATGTCTATGTTGGAAAATAGCTATTGCCAGGCTGGGTGCAGTGGCTCACCCCTGTCATCCCAGTACTCTGGGAGGCTGAGGCAGGTGGATACCTTGAGCTCAAGAGTTAAAGGCCAGCCTGAGCAAGAATGAGACCTCGTCTCTACTATAAAACAGCCGGGCTTTGTAGCAGGTGCCTATAGTCTGAGCTACTCAGGAGGCTGAGGCAAGATTGCGTTAGCCCAGGAGTTTGAGATTGCTGTGAGCTATAACACAACGGCAGTCTAGCCTGGGGCAACAGAGTGAGACTCTGGCTCAAAAAAACATACTGCAATTGGTTTAAAAACATTTCAGATTAATATGAGGGTACATACAATTAGGTTACATAGTTTGCTTTTGTAAGGCTGAGGTCCAAGTTGTAGTTGGATCCTTCACCCAGGAAGTGTCTCATATACCTGTGCAAAGGACCAGTGGGACAGGAACTCACCTGACCTCTCTGCCCTATGTAAATTTGAGTTTTTCTCTGACGTGAGCAGGTAGTTGTTAGTATACTAGTTCTAATTTAGTACTAAGTGCATGTGGTTTTGCCTTTTTAAAGATATGTTCAAATAAACATTGACAAATTAAAAAATAAAATCACTGCATTTTAGAGTTGGCCAAAATTTAAAGATAATCTGGGCAATAGGAAAACTGAGCCCAAATAAGTTAATTAAGAAGGTTCACCAAGATCACTGTCCTGCCACAGCTAAATTTTTATTTTTAAATTCTTTTCAGATTGTCTTCAACCAAAAACAGAATAGTGCTTATAGAACCAAAGTGCATATAGAACTAGAATTCTGGGCAGGATTTCCCTGAGGAGTAGAAATGCTGTTGGCTAGAAAACAAGGAAACTTGATTTTAGGAGTTTTAAAATGATCAGTAATAGTTACCAAATTAGAACATTTTAATGGTTTATACCTGTGGTTCCCATCCCCCAGGCCATGGACTGGTACTTGTCTGTGGCTTGTTAACAGCTGGGCTGTACAGCATCCCATGTGAGCTCTGCCTCCTGTCCCACCCGACCCTGCCTCTGGCCCCCTACTCAGATGCCCCACCCCCCGTCCCTGGAAAAATTATCTTCTATGAAATGGGTCCCTGGTGCCAAAAAGGTTGGGGACTGCTGGTTTATATCATAAAATGACACCATTATACATATGGTAAGCACGTGTGTTTCTAATATAGTATTTATTCACCTCAGTTTTGACAAATGATATTTTCATGTTTTTATAAGAAAGTGTTTTTCACCATTTTTTTTTTTTATTGCAGCTAGTGGTCAGAAGTTATATGTAAGGCTCTTTCAACGTAAATTAAGCTGGATTAAGATGAGTAAAATCGAGTATGAAGAGATTGCCCCAGACTTAACACCCGTGGTTGAAGAATTGCAGCACGCAGGCTTTCTGCAGACAGGTATGATCAGTAGAAAGAAACGTGAGGTGAAAGTATCTGAAGGATTAAGTTTCTGCAGAATAGTGGCAGTATTAGTGTGCTGTCCTCTCTTGGTTAGTCCTGGTAAGTAGTAATTAAATTTTAGGACACCAAATTAATTCATGAGATGCTAAAGCTGTTCTTAGCCTGAATTAAGAAAACTAGAATAATGAAAAATTGTCTGCTGTTCTCTTGACTGTCACAGGTTTATAGCCATAGTCACCTAGGATAGATGTGTGGGTGTGTGCCACAGAAGAAAGACATCCCTCATCAGCACTGTCCTTCCTGCAAGAACTTGTCTCATCTTATTCAGAATCCTCCTCTCATGATAGAATAACGCTGGTTTATGTGCAACCAGTACTGCCTTCAGGACTCCACCTGCCCTCACATGCACACACTTAACAGCTTTTAGGATAAGTTGATTGCCTGGGAGTTGTGGAATCACTAAATGAGGCTCTGTCTTCTTTCTTGATTGTGTTGCCAGGAGCGTTTGTTAAGTACAGTACTTCCTGAGGTACAAGGAATATGAAAGATGTGAGCCTTGTGTTCAAGTTGTTGACACCAAAGTAAGCAAATCAAGCCAGAAGTTTCTCAGGGGCAGAGTTTGTAGTGGTGAGAAGTGAGTGAGTTAGGGTGATTATTAGGGTGGGAGTAGGGCGGGGATGGGATGAGTTGATTCTCCTGTTTCAGACTCCCAAGGACTGAGACTACCGGTGCCCACAACAACACCTGGCTAGTTTTTCTGTTTTTAGTAGAGATGAGGTCTTGCTCTTGCTCAGGTTGGTGTTGAACTCCTGAGCACAAGCAATCCACTCACCTTGGCCTCCCAGACTACTAGGATTATAGGTGTGAGCCATGGCATCTGGCCTCACCAGAGGTTTTGTGATGAGAACGGGAATATGTATTTCAGTAAGCTTTTAATCAGGATGCCCAAACCATGGGGCTATCCATGCATCTTTATTTATTTTTTGAGACAGAGTTTCACTTTGTCACCCTTGGTAGATTGCTGTGGCATCATAGCTCACAGCAACCTCAAACTTCTGAGCTTAAGTGATTCTCTTGCCTCAGCCTCCCAAGTAGCTAGGACTACAGGCGCCTGCCACAGTGCTTGTCTATTTTTAGAGACAAGGTCCCACTCTGGCTCAGGCTGGTCTCAAACCTGTAAGCTCAGGCAGTCTACCCACCTTTGCCTCCCAAGTGCTGGGATTACAGGCGTGAGCCTCTGCACCTGGCCCATGCTTTTTTTTTATTTTTTTTGAGACAGAGTCTCATTATGTTACCCTCAGTAGAGTACTGTGGCGTCACAGCTTACAGCAACCTCAAACTCTTGGGCTTAAGCTGTTCTCTAGTTCTCTTGCCTCAGCCTCCCAAGTAGCTGGGACTACAGGCACTGGCCACAACATCTATCTTTATTTTAGTAACATTTTCCTTTACTTTTTAGTTAGAAATTCTGTTACCTGATAACTTTTAAGAGAGAGATATTTTTCACATTCTTTAGTAATTGGTTTGGCAAACCACATTCTCTACTGTAGGATTTCACTTAATTGTTATCTAACTAAAGTAAATAAAGCTGGAAAATCTTTTAAAACTATTAAAAACATTTTTTTAACCATTTCAGAATCTGAGTTGCAAGAACTCTCTGAAGTGCTTGATCTTCTTTCTGCTCCTGAACTAAAATCCCTGGCCAAGACCTTCCACTTGCTGAATCCCAGTGGGCAGAAGCAGCAGCTTGTGGACACCTTTCTCAGGCTGGCCAAACAGCGCTCAGTCTGCACTTGGGGCAAGAATCAGCCTGGAATTGGTGCCGTGATTTTAAAAAGGTTCTGTTAGCTGTCGTGATAGTAAAAACATTTAAAATGTTGATAGCATTTATTAACTTCTTATAATAGCTTATATAGTTTTTTGAGTTGTTCATTGCTTATTTGGTTGCAGTTAGATGGAGAAGGCCGGAAGAGCCTTATTTATAATGGTCTTCATTATTCAAAATTCTTTTTTTTTGTTTTTTTAGACAGTGTATTACCCTGGTGGGGGCTGTGGCGTCATAGTTCACAGCAACCTCAGACTCTTAGACTCTTTTACCTCAGCCTCCTGAGTAGTTGGGATTACAGGCCTCTGCCACAGTACTGGGGTATTTTTAGAGGTGAGGTCTTGCTCTTGCGCAGGCTGGTCTCCAGCTTGTGAGCTCAGGTGATCTGCCCTCCTTGGCTTCCCAGAGTGCTGGGATTACAAGGGTGAGCCATCGTGCTGGCCCTGTTATTCAGAATTCTTATGCAAGGTGTCTAACCTTTCTTCTTTTCCGTTGCACAGTGGAAGAATGTGAGTTGTGTTGGGCTACACAGTAAATATGCATTAATGAAAACTGATTAGTAAAAAACAGGTCTGTGATATTCAACACCACAGACAAGTTAATAAAGTCCTCACAAAATCAGCATGTGGCCCGTGGGCCACAGGTTGGACACCACTGCTTTGCATCAAACCTTGCCGTGCATGTATACCATTTCATGGTGCACAAAATCTTTTCCAATAGCCTTTGATAGTGACATTATAAATATACCACTTATTTAATCTGTATTACCATTTGAATCAAGAATGGTAAGTTGCTAATGTAAAATAGGCCATACTTTCCTGAAAATTTTCCTAATATTTCAAGTGTTCTTCACCAGGGTAAACCCATCCTACTCTGTAGCTGGAGAAGAAAGCACTTAATTATAAAAGTGAGCCGAACTATGTATGCCATATGCCTAGGTGGGTTCTGTTTTTTTTTTTTTGCAGTTTTTGGCTGGGGCTGGGCTGGGTTTGATCCCGCCACCTCCGGCATATGGGGTCAGCGTCCTACTCCTGTGAGCCACAGGTGCCACCCTTCTAGGTGGGTTCTGACGCCAGAGAGGTTGAGGAATGTGTCAGTGTTAGAATAGTGAATATTGTTTCTCTTTATTTCAGGTGAAAATACTTTGTAAACTCTGACATCCAAATACTTAAAAAACCAAAAGGCTATGTTTTTCATTTTTCAGAGCTAAACACTTGGCTGGCCGGTCTCTGAGGATTTGTAAAGGCCCCAGGGCTGTGTTTTCTCGGATCTTGCTGCTGTTTTCCTTGACTGACTCGGCGGAAGATGAAGATGCTGCCTGTGGTGGGCAGGGGCAGCTTTCCACAGTACTGCTGGTCAACCTGGGCCGAGTGGCATTTCCTAGTTACACCATCAATCGGAAAACCCAGATCTTCCAAGACAGAGAAGATCTTATCAGGTAAGATCTTGTTAACTCACTATTAATATCTGCGTATTTCAAAATTTTGTAAAACATTGTCAACCAAACAAGAAATGTTAGGTCCGCAGCCCAAACAGCTTTTAGTTTATTTTTTGTTATTTTTTTCGTCTCATGTATATACATTTCTGAGACTACAGAGCGAGAGTACAGAAATGTACTTAGATTAAGGTTGCCAAGAACTAAGGAATTCTGAGAACTATAAAAATTTTCCCTGGCTTATGTTCCCAAGTAGCTTTGGCAGGGAGTATTTTTTTTTGAATACAGACAGTTTAACAAGGCTGCCATGTGAATATGCTATTGTCAGGAACAAGGATGAAGATAAATATTTTCTTAGTCATAACACATGGGTTAGGCTATTGATACCTTGTGTACTATATATTAGAATCATGTACATGACCAATTAGCAATTTTCACAAATTTATATTGGCACGTTGATTTCACGAAAATTTGGTTTGCCAGCAAGAGTAGGTTTAGAACTAAAAATAGAGCTACCATATCATTCAGCAGTCTCACTACTAGGTATATATCCAAATAAAGGAAATCAGTACATTGAAGAGGTGTTTGCATTCTCATGTCTATTACAGCAATACTCACTATAGCCAAGATATGAAATCAATCTAAGCATCCATCAGCAGAGAGATGGATAAAGAAAATGTGTTGCTGGGCACAGAGGCTTATGCCTATAATCCTAGCACTTTGGGAAGCTGAGATGGGAGGCCAGGATTTGAAGACCAGCCTGGACAACATAGTAAGACCCATATCTACAAAAATTTAAAAATTAGCTGGAGGTTGTGGTTTATGCCTGTGGTTCCGGCTACTCCTGGGGCTGAGGCAGGAGGATTACATGAGCTCCAGAGTTTGGGGCTGCAGTGAGCTATGAATATGCCACTTCACTGTAGCCTGGGTGACAGAGCACAACCTTGTCACTATAAAAAAAAGAGAAAGAAAATGTAGTATATATGTCGATGCCCAATGGAATATTATTCAGCCATGAAAAAGAACAAAATCCAACATTCACAGCAACATGGACAAGTTTGGATGACATTATGTTACGTGAAATAAACAAGGCACAGAAAGATAATACTCCCATGTTCTTCTTCATGTGTGGAAGCTGAAAATGTTGACCTCTTAGAAGTAGAGCATGGAGTCATGGTTACTAGAGGCTGTGAGGATTGAGGGAGACAGTGACCCAAGTTTGGTTAATGGATATAAAAGTGCAGCTGGACAGGAATGGGTTCTAGTGTACAGCACTGTTGTTATAATTAACAATTTATTGTATGTTTTCAAATAGCTACAAATGTGGATTTGGAATGTTCACTACGCAAAGAAATGACAAAGGTTTGAGGTGATGATATACTAATTACCCTGATTTGATGATTGTACATTGTATGCATATCATATGGTGCCCCACAGATGTGTATAATAAATCAACTAAAAGTAATAATAGAAGCAAAACAAGCAAAAATAGGATTAGTATATTAAAAAAATAGAATTTAGTAAGAAAGAATAGTATAGGTCTCATAGGAAAATATACTTAAATTTCCTAAGAATGAAAACCACTTTCTATAAAAAAAAATAATTTGAATTTCCTAAGATGTCACTCCTGATTCTTGCTGTAAGATTTTGACCTCAAATTTAACTGAAATCAATTCTGATATTTCCTTTTTGGAAAGTCCTTAAGTGTTTTTAGGATAGTCATGTGCTTTAAAAGTAAGTTACTGAAATTACAGAGTCAAAGCAGTGTCAGTATAAACTGATGTCAGCCCCTTCTGCCTTGGCTGTCAGGAAGGTCAGTATCCATTTGTGTTTAATTGGAATAACATATTCGTCAAACCTCCTAATCTGACTGTTTCCTCTTAGCCTTTTTTCAGTTGTCTTTGTCATGTCTTTGTCATGTCTTTGTTTTTATGTCTCAAACCTTTTTAGTCTTTAGTGACTATGCTTTTCTAGTTTGTGAGCATGTGTACTCTGAATTCAAGTTACAGTCTCCCTATGATAATGAGCTGTGAAATGCCCCATGCCTCAGTTTCCTCATCAGTAAAATAGAATAATGTTATATTCTAATAGTTATGTGTTTGTGCATGTAAGGTGTTGACAGCCTGGCCTGGGGCAGTGCCCATTACTATTAATATTGTTATTACTGTTAACGTCTAAGATGATTGCTTTCTAGTTCTATGACAAAACCATAGTTGGCAAGTTAAAAAGTTGGGGGGATGGAGCTAGGGAGAAAAGTAAATCATCTTTCTAGAAGGTAGGTATGCTGTAAGTAGAAAAAATAAAAACAATTAAACCCTCTTTGTTATGCAAAGGGCCTTAACATGTGAATGAGATTGGATTGAATTTACTTCCAGAAGGGTAATGTTATATGATATCTGGTTGTGTGCTCCCTGGCCTGAGAACCCTTTTTGTCTGACTCTGTACTTCAGATAATTTATCTTTTATTTTCTTTTTTTTCATTTATTCAATAAAAATGAGTTGAGTGTTGAGTACCTATGATGTGCTTGGATAGTGGGAAGCAAGGAGTAAGGTAGGGCCTCAGCCAGCGTGGTGTTATGTTTCCCTGGAGAGGTAGAAGATGAATAATTAGAGTCTGTGGAAAGTGCTGTAGTAGAAACCCCATCTCTACTAAAAACAGGAAAACTAGCCAGGTGTTGTGGCAGGTGCCTGCAGTCCCAGCTACATGGAGGCTGAGGCAGAGATCACTTGAGCCCTTGCGTTTGAGGTTGCTGTGAGCTGCGGTATTATGGCACTTTACCTAGGGTGACAGAGTAAGATTCTGTCTCAAAAAAAAAAAAAGGAAAAAAAATTTATAAACTTAAAAAAAAAAAAAAAAGTGCTGTGGTAATTGAAGGGCAGACTAGAGATGTTCTGCCTTATAGGCATAGGGGAAGTGGCCCTGGAGAGATGACATTTGAAGTAAGACTTGAGGGTGAGAAGGAGGCAGCCTCGTCAGGGCCAGACAGCTGGATGAGCGTTCGCACCGCCGTGAGGCAGGAAAGAGCTTTCTGAGTTGGAAAAGTTCAGGAGGCTAAAGTTCCAGGGAGCGGCCGCGCTAGGGTAAGTTAGCTAGGAAGGCAGGGATCAGAGACTGGTCAGCCTGGAGCCTTGGTGAGCAGACCCACGCTGTTCTCTGAGTAACGGGAAGCCACTGAAGATGTTTAGGCAGGCGAGTGACCTGTTCAATGTTTCCACAAAACCATCCGTAATCTAAAAGGCAGTGAACATATATACTTGAAGTATCACAAAATCTGTTGGTCTGATGTCTTTGTTTTCAGTGTTTCAAAAAGCAATGAGAAGTTGTCTGTCTTCAGCAAAATTTGGTATTGTAACATTTCAAAGTATTTTCACTTGTGAAAGAGCATCCTTGAAGTTATTTTTGAAATATTCCAAGTAATTCTTTTAGTTTGGGCAACATCCTCTCTGGCTACCTCTGACTATAAATGATTGAATTATCCAATCTGCATCTTCCTGTAATTCTGAAGTCAGTTATGTGTTTATTACATGGTTACTGCCAGATTGTGGAGTAAGTGAGTGAGTGAGTGCCAAAAATCAAGACTGATGAGCTGATCATTATCACATGTATGTAGTGGACCATGTTATGTAATAATATGGAGTAAATGTTTTATACCTTTCTAGTTGGGCAGCTTGTATCACTTCTTCTGGGTTACTCCAGTAGGGCAGTTATGTTCATTTATTACTAGAATAAAATTTAAACGACTCTTATTTTTTCAAAACCACACTTTTACCCTTCAGAATTAGATCTAGTGGCTAGGATATGGTAATTTTATGGAAACACTTGTATTTGAAAGTTGTATGGCGTTTCCCCTCCCAGATACGCAGCTGCTGTGCACACACTGAATGACATTTCCACCGCCATGGCCAGCGGGAACTGGGAAGAGGCTAAGGAGCTCTCTCAATGTGCAAAACAAGATTGGAACAAACTGAAAAACCACCCTTCTCTGAGGTGAGATCTTTTAGGTACCTACTAAAATTTATATATTGACCAAGTTGTTCCAACCATTTAAGATAACTTTCTTCATGAAGAATACACTCTTTTTGCTCTGTGGTTAAACCAGCTGTGAAACTGAATTTTTTACTCTCTGCATCCAGTTAAAGTGCTGTGTGAAATACAAGGAAATATCTGAAAATTTAAAGTGAAGTTGAACGTCCTGTGCAGCAGATGTTCAAGTGAACAAAACTGTGTTCAGCTGTTAGCTTGCCGTCTCTCGGTGTGCTGGTGAGCTGAACGCAGGCGTGAGGGCGGCCAGCATCGGGACAGAGGTGCACACTGGGCCTGTTCTTCCCAGGGAAGCTCAGGTAGATGTATTCTGTAGCAGACAGCAAAAGCGAATATCCACACTGCACATTCCAAGTACATAGAACAAGATCTTTCATTTTTTTGATTGAAAAATATTAAACATCTTTGGCATTTTATTAAGGCATTTTTCCCTTTGTTATTAGGTAATGAGGAGAAAATTAGTGTTATCAAATACCTCTTTAAAAAAACCTTTAGGGTATACATTTTATAGGGTATTGACTTAAAAATCATAGCTGGGAAGTTAGAGTCCTGTAGAACCGAGGTTGATAAAATTCTCTGTAAAAGGCCAAATTGTCACATTCTCAGTTTTGCAGGCCATGTGGCATCTGTGGCAGTGACCTCCTTCTCCTGTTGACTGTCTTCCAGTGAACTTTGTTTATAGACACCAGAATGTGAGTTCCATGTAATTTTCACATGCCACAGAGTATTATTATCCTTTTGACTTATTTTAACTGTTTAAAAATATTAAAACCATTCTACAGGCAGCGCCCATAGCTCAGTGGGTAGGGTGCTGCCTGCATACACCAAAGTTGACGGGTTCAAACCTGGCCTGGGCCAGCTAAAGAAACAACAATGGCAACAACAACAAAAATAGCTGGGCATTGTGGCGGTGCCTGTAGTCCCAGTTACTGGGGAGGCTGAGGCAAAAAATCACTTAAGCCAGAGAGTCTGAGGTTGCTTTGAGCTGTGACACCACAGCACTCTACCGAGGGTGACATACTGGGATGCTGCTTCAAAAAAAAAAAAAAAAAAAAAGTCGGGGCGGAGCCAAGATGGCGAACTGCAGCCAGCTTTTTACAGAAGCTCCCGTCCAGAAGGAGGCTGAAAGGACAGAACCTTAGCAAAGTAGCTGATGGTTTGGAGCAGAGACAAGAGAGAAGATTGAAGAGTGCACTTCAACCTTCCTGAGGCGA